GAACGTTTCCCTACACATCCTGCTACCTACTGAACGTTCCCTTCACATCCTGCTACCTACTGAACGTTTCCCTACACATCCTGCTACCTACTGAATGTTCCCTTCACATCCTGCTACCTACTGAACGTTTCCCTACACATCCTGCTACCTATTGAACGTTCCCTTCACATCCTGCTACCTACTGAACGTTTCCCTACACATCCTGCTACCTACTGAACGTTCCCTACACATCCTGCTACCTACTGAACGTTCCCTACACATCCTGCTACCTACTGAACGTTGAACGTTCACTACACATCCTGCTACCTACTGAACGTTCCCTACCCATCCTGCTACCTGCTGAAAGTTCCGTACACATCCTGCTACCTACTGAACGTTGAACGTTCACTACACATCCTGCTACCTACTGAACGTTGAACGTTCCCTACCCATCCTGCTACCTACTGAACGTTTCCCTACACATCCTGCTACCTAGTGAACGTTGAACGTTCACTACACATCCTGCTACCTACTGAACGTTGAACGTTCCCTACCCATCCTGTTACCTACTGAACGTTCCCTCCACATCCTGCTACCTACTGAACGTTCCCTTCACATCCTGCTACCTACTGAACGTTCCATTATACATCCTGCTACCTATTGAACGTTCCCCTACCTACTGACCGTTCCCACATCCTGCTACCTACTGAACGTTCGCTACACTGTGCTACCTATGCTACCTACTGAACGTTCCTACACATCCTGCTACCTATTGAACGTTGAACGTTCACTACACATCCTGCTACCTATTGAACGTTCCCTACCCATCCTGCTACCTATTGAACGTTCCCTACCCATCCTGCTACCATCCTGCTGAACGTTCCCTACACATCCTGCTACCTACTGAACGTTCCCTACACATCCTACCTACTGAACGTTCCCTACACATCCTGCTACCTACTGAACGTTCCCTACACATCCTGCTACCTACTGAACGTTCCCTCCATATCCTGCTACCTACTGAACGTTCCCTATACATCCTACTACCTATTGAACGTTCCCCTACATATCCTGCTACCTATTGACCGTTCCCTACACATCCTTCTACCTACTGAACCTTCCCTACACATCCCGCTACCCACTGAACGTTCCCCTACACATCCTGCTACCTACTGACTGTTCCCTACACATCTTTCTACCTACTGAACGTCTCCTACATATCCTGCTACCTACCGTACGTTCTCCTACACATCCTGCTACCTACTGAACGTCTCCTACATATCCTGCGACCTACTGTACGTTCTCCTACACATCCTGCTACCTACTGAACGTCCACTACACATCCTGCTACCTATTGAACGTTCCTTACACATCCTGCTACCTACTGACCGTTCCTTACATATCCTGCAACCTACTGACCGTTCCCTAATCTTCCTACGGTAAATATTTCTCGTTGACAAACTGTAAGAATGTAAGAATTGTGTCACTTAAGTTAAAACACAAAAGTAACATCCACACACACACTGAGACTCCACTTACTAAACCCGTTCACTTAACACCAGTCAGGACACAAAGTCAAGAATGTTCCCTTACGTGTAAAGTACCTACGTTTTATTCTTCACCTTAAGTAAACCAAATAAGTACACTCTGACACTACCAGTTACCTAAATCACTCACTTTATGAACCTTTGTGAATCTGGACTCTTGAGTTGTAGATTTTTTTTTTGTCGCCAATATTTATGATCTTGACCGAAAAAGTTGTAGCTAAGGTTGTTATTATAGTGTTGTAAGTGAACTCAGATGTACCGTAAGTATTAAGTAACAAAAGCTTATCGGTATCTTTGGCTACGTTATACTAGTCCGTTATACACTACGCAACACCGTTACACACTACGCAACACCGTTACTACAGATAGGGAAGACTAGTACTACAGATAGGGAAGACGAATACAAACGTTAAGTATAAACTAGGTAACACGGAAATAGAAAACTCAGTTTGTGAAAAAGATCTAGGTGTATTTGTTAGCAACGACTTGAAACCTAGAAAACAATGTATTAGCGTTCGCACCAAGGCAAACAGGATTCTTGGGTTCATATCTAGGTCTGTGAGTAACAGAACTGCTGACGTTATCTTGAAACTTTACCTAGCATTAGTGAGGCCACACATGGATTATGCGGTTCAGTTCTGGTGTCCTTATTATAGAATGGACATAGATTCTTTGGAGAGAGTACAAAGAAGAATAACAAAAATGATCCATAATATTAGAAACCTTCCATATGAAGAAAGACTGAAAAGCTTAGGCTTACATTCATTAGAGAGGCGTAGAGTTAGGGGAGATATGATAGAGGTGTACAAGTGGGTAAGTGGGATTAACAAGGATAAAATGGAAGATGTTCTGAAGCTCAGTAATAACGAAATAACTAGAACAAATGGCTTTAAATTAGGTAAATTCCGATTCAGAAAGGATATAGGCAAGCACTGGTTTGGTAATAGAGTTGTGGATATGTGGAATAGGCTACCGAGTGCTATAGTAGGATCGGGGACGCTAGGGAGCTTCAAGACGAAGTTGGATAGGCACATGGAAGTGCTGGGATGGGTGTGAAGGGATCTGCCCTGTATGGGCCAGTCGGCCTCCTGCAGTATCCCACTTTCTTATGTTCTTATGTTATGTTACACACTACGCTACACCGTTACACACTACGCTACACCGTTACACGCTACGCTACACCGTTATATTTTTATTAGTTTATGGCTGAGTGTTGATAATAAACAACTAAGAGACTCAGTATCTCTTTGACATGCTTCCAACAAACCACACTAGACTAAATCACCAATAACTGAGCTTGTAAATAACATCAATATTACCACACCCACATCTTAATTGAACTTGTAAATAACATCAATATTACCACACCCACATCTTAATTGAACTTGTAAATGACATCAATATTACCACACCCACATCTTAATTGAACTTGTAAATAACATCAATATTACCACACCCACATCTTAACTGAACTTGTAAATAATATCAATATTACCACACCCACATCTTAACTGAACTTGTAAATAACATCAATATTACCACACCCACATCTTAACTGAACTTGTAAATGACATCACTATTACCACACCCACATCTTAACTGAACTTGTAAATAACATCAATATTACCACACCCACATCTTAACTGAACTTGTAAATAACATCAATATTACCACACCCACATCTTAACTGAACTTGTAAATGACATCAATATTACCACACCCACATCTGCCTCACCTATTTTAAAACTTCCTTCCTTAATAATTGTGTTAATGATGTTATCTGGCAACAGTTACCCTCCTTACTCGTGTTTACAGCTCTTCATGTTTACAAGCCTGGCAACAGTTCACTCCACCTGACCTATTTATTATTCTGACGATATGAATTATGTCACTTAACTAATATTAACTGGTTCTGAGCCAACACAACAAATATTATTAACTTATTGATGTTACTTGAAAACTAACATAAATATTAAAATTTTAGGGTTAACATTGAGGAAACTACTGTAGGCCTATTGATCCATACTAGGCTGTCCTGTTTACACCCAGCCCCTATCGCTCATATATCTGTCTAGTCTATAGGCCTTATTTAAAGATATCCACTGTGTTCCAGTTAATGATGACGATTGGTAGTTTGTTGCACTCACCCACTGCTCTATTTCCCAACCAATGTTTACCTAATTTACAACCACTCCTACGCAAGCGCTCCATACTAATATAAATGTTCATGTGTCATTTTTATGAGACGAAACGAGCATATTATGAAACGCAAATAGGAGTTTATTTATATGGTCCACCTGCAGATAATCCACCCCAGCTTATTTCACCTAAAGATTAACCACCCTAACCTAACCTTATCTCTTTAAATAGTCTCAGGGTGGTTAATCTTCAGGTGAAATAAGCTGGGGTGGTGATTCTTCAGGTGATCCATTTTAATATATCAATTTATTGAACACAAAAAATTATCGTAATTCCGTTGGTATATAAATAAAAACAATTCAATAAAAAATAAAATAACAAAAATAATATTGTTCTCGATGTCAACAATTTATACAATACTGTGTTTGTGTTTATTTACAACCCAGCTTAATGTAACACACCATCAGGGTCTAAAAATATTAAATCAGAAAAAAAATATTACTAAACCAGGTAAAGTAATATTATCCAACCAGGTAAAGTAACATTATTAAACCAGGTAATGTAAAGTAATATTATAAAACCAGGTAAAGTAACATTATTAAACCAGGCAATGTAAAGTAATATTATAAAACCAGGTAAAATAACATTATTAAACCAGGTAAAGTAATATTATTAAACTTCATAAAACAATATTATTAAACTAGGTAAAGTAATATTATCCAACTAGGTAAAGTAATATTATTAAACCAGGTAAAGTAATATTATTAAACCAGGTAAAGTAATATTATTAAACCAGGTTAAGTAATATTATTAAACCAGGTAAAGTAATATTATTAAACTTCATAAAACAATATTATTAAACTAGGTAAAGTAATATTATCCAACTAGGTAAAGTAATATTATTAAACCAGGTAAAGTAATATTATTAAACTTCATAAAATAATAGTATTAAACCAGGTAAAGTAAGATTATCAAACCAGGTAAAACAATATTATTAAACCAGAGAAAGGAATATTATTAAACCAGAGAAAGTAAAGTATTATTATTAAACCACAGAAAGTAAAGTAATATTATTAAACCAGGTACAGTAATACTATAAAATAATATTAAACCTGAGTACTATTAAAACAAGAAAATCTTATCATTAAACCACGAGAAATATAACAATTTATGATGCACTGACTGATATACACACACCGGTGAAAATTATTAATAACTCAAATATTACTTTCAATAAATTACTTAGTGTTAAGGACCCTAATTCTGTTTGTTATAAGTACACAGTCACTTAAATGTTATATGCTGACTGGTATAAAGTGTGGTTGGGTGTCTCAGTACCCCGGTTCGAATCCTTGACGATGTTGACAAGACTGGTGTTACAGCTGCTTGTGAGGTGAGGTGTGGTGGAGAGAGAGGGAGGGAGGGTGCGTGAGTTAAAGTGTGTGGGGGTGAGAGGAGTGACGTAGAGGGAAAGTGAGTGGGGTAAGGATATGGGAGAGACAGTGAGGATAAGACAGAGAGAGAGAGAGATGGGATGAGTGTGAGAGAGAGTGAGCGTATGAGCGTGTGTGTATGACTGTGTGTGCGTGTCGGCCATGACCAGCAGGGCCTCCCCCACCTCATAACAATGGACTAGTCCAGCGGCCACGTCGGCCATACGTAACATCAGGATTGTTACCTCAACTTGTTCCTCCTGCGTGGTGAGGGCGAGGGGCAGGTGTGGTGCTCCTCCCTAGACGTACATCCCCTCACACCACATCTTCACACAATCCTTCACTGTGAAATATAACGTAAAACTCCTCACAAAGTCGCTGGGATGGTTCCTTCCCACTACAGGTCCAGAGAAACTGGCTTAACACACGGGCGAAATTCCCTTCATCAGTCGAGCACAGCCCCTCTCGCCTGATTGGTGGGTTTGTAATAATGCTGGCCAATGGAAAACTCGGGATGGTTCAGAGGTGGTGAGTGAGCGAATACATACCGCCTCTGTTGATGACGTCACAGGGAGGGCGGGGTTTGGGCCCACGCTCTGAGTAAGGCTTCGTCTGGTATGGACTTTATAATGAAATCTTGTGGGACCGTTCCTGAAACATTACCGTTAACCCTCCCTTTTGGTATAATGTTCCCATAATGGTGTATAAATATATCCTTTTGCAGCACCTATATTAACTGCATATAATCCCAGTGTGATATAATTGCGATAATTAGAGCCAAGAGCATGATTCCTTTTCAGGTAGCGGCCCTAACGCCTCCGAGTTGGTCACATGGCGCGTCGTCTGGTACGGTGAGTTGACCAATCAGAGCACAGAACCCAGAGCGCAGTCCCGAAATACTTGGAGTCGTAATTGCAGCGGGGGAAGAGGAGTCACCGAGACCTGCACCACTCGAGAGCTTTTTTTTTTTTTTATAACTATATATTTCCTCCCTCTTCCTCCACCCTATATTAATGATCTACTGCGTGATAAGATAATGATAGACACTCCTAACACCCATCATATCTTCCTCTCGTGTGTGTGTGTGTATGTTAAAAGACTAGAATAATCCATCTATCCATCTATCCGCGTGAGTACTGTAGCAGCGGGTGAGGTCTCGGGTTACCAACACATGTTATCAATGGCAACTTAGACAAGGGAGGCAGCGGCGGGTCATGGCAACTCCACGCTCCAGGGTTGCCACACGTCACCACATGAACCCAACCTCAGCCAGCGTCCGCATATCAATCACACTTGACGCACAGCCTTCCCTCCATACAGGTGTTAATTTTTTACACTGAAAGACGGTTATTGACGGCATGTACACCTATCTGTGCAATGACGGTGCTGTTATTGTGGGTAGTTGGATGTTTTTGGTATTTATAAAAGCGTTGCAATACACAATATGAAGATGGTGGCATCAGCAATGTTGCTCACGTGCACTACAGACAGGATGTTGCAATACCTATTATACCTTCAGTTACGCTAAATAACCCCAAAGTAATAACATATTGGTGATTTCCATGCAATAACGACGACTTTTAACAGCTATTATACACAGTAGTAATATCAGTACTATTATCATTAACGAATTATGTCATATACCTATAATTAACATCAAACAATTAGGTGACGTAAGATATTGACGTCATTCCAGAGTGATTAATTATCAATTACTAACAGCCAATCACCTGCCTAGTTATGACACAGACAATTACGTGGTTACTATTTGGAGATTGATCTTAAATGTTGAACTTTATTAAAATTGTTCATACTAAACTTGACCTTAAAGCTGATATTGAACTTAATGGTTGATCATAAAGCTGATATTGAGCTTAATGGTTGATCTTTAAGCCTAATTGTAAGCTGAAGTGTTAATCCTGAACTTGATAATTGACCTTGACTTGACATCTGATCTTAAACCTGATACTGATCTTAAGCTTGAACCTGATACTGGTCGTAAGCTTGAACCTGATACTAATCTGAAGCTTGAACCTGATACCGATCTTAGGTTTGAACCTGATACTGATCTTAAGCTTGAACCTGATACTGAACTTAAGCTTGAACCTGATACTGATCTTGAACTTTAAGCTGATACTAAACTTAAGCTTGAACCTGATGCGATCTTAAGCTTGAACCTGATACTGAACGTAAGCTTGGACCTGATACTGAACGTAAGCTTGGACCTGATACTGAACGTAAGCTTGGACCCGATACTGGTCTTAAGTTTGAACCTGATACTGAACTTAAGCTTGAACCTGATACTGATCATAAGCTTGAACCTGATACTGATCTTAAGCTTGAACTTGATACTGATCTTAAGCTTGAACCTGATACTGATCTTAAGCTTGAACCTGATACTGATCTTAAGCTTGAACTTGATACTGATCTTAAGCTTGAACCTGATACTGATCTTAAGCTTGAACCTGATACTGATCTTAAGCTTGAACCTGATACTGATCTTAAGCTTGAACCTGATACTGATCTTAAGCTTGAACCTGATACTGATCTTAAGCTTGAACCTGATACTGATCTTAAGCTTGAACCTGATACTGATCTTAAGCTTGAACTTGATACTGATCTTAAGCTTGAACCTGATACTGATCTTAAGCTTGAACCTGATACTGATCTTAAGCTTGAACCTGATACTGATCTTAAGCTTGAACCTGATACTAATCTTAACTGGCGATGATAATGATGTTTGATTAAGCTTCGTATTATGACGTTGATGTTATTGACGTCATTATGGTAATTTATGTTAATTAAGCTTCGTATTATGACGTTGATGTTATTGACGTTATAATGGTAATTTATGTTAATTAAGCTTCGTATTATGATGCTGATGTTATTGATGGTGATTATAGTGATGATGTTTATGATGTTGATTGATAATGTTATTGATGATGGTGTGATGAGTGGGATGTTATTACAGATATTCTCTACAATGACGTTGATGAGGTTCCCCTTGGCAGTGATGGTCAAGAAATGTGTAATAGTGGCAATAATAGTAACGATGATGTTGAAGACGAAGCTTATCAATTATTTACAGTGATGTTTAGTAAATAACGAAATCTCATTCCGATGAGGTTGATGGTATCATTTTTTTTCATTGATGTTATTTACAAAGTTCTTACAGCTGATGTTGTAAACCTTCAATGTTTACCAATGATGTTATAATGTTATTGATGAATGTGATGTTTGCTGTTAGGTTCTTAATTCTTATACTACCAGTTAAGGGGTGTTCTTATACTACCAGTTAAGGGGTGTTCTTTTACTACCAGTTAAGGGGTGTTCTTTTACTACCAGTTAAGGGGTGTTCTTTTACTACCAGTTAAGGGGTGTTCTTTTACTACCAACTAAGGGGTGTTCTTATACTACCAGTTAAGGGGTGTTCTTATACTACCAGTTAAGGGGTGTTCTTATACTACCAGTTAAGGGGTGTTCTTTTACTACTAGTTAAGGGTGTTTTTATACCACCAGTTATAGTGTTCTTATACCACCAGTTAAGGGGTGTTCTTATACTACCAGTTAAGGGTGTTCTTATACTACCAGTTAAGGGTGTTCTTTTACTACTAGTTAAGGGGTGTTTTTATACTACCAGTTAAGGGTGTTCTTATACTACGGGGTGTTCTTATACTAGTTAAGGGGTGTTCTTATACTACCAGTTAGGGGTGTTCTTATACTACCAGTTAAGGGGTGTTATTATACTACCAGTTATGGGTGTTCTTATACCAGTTAAGGGTGTTCTTATACCACCAGTTAGGGGTGTTCTATACCACCAGTTAAGGGGTGTTCTTATACTACCAGTTAAGGGGTGTTCTTACCACCAGTTAAGGGGTGTTCTTATACCACCAGTTAAGGGGTGTTCTTATACCACCAGTTAAGGGGTGTTCTTATACTACCAGTTAAGGGGTGTTCTTATACCACCAGTTAAGGGGTGTTCTTATACCACCAGTTAAGGGGTGTTCTTATACCACCAGTTAAGGGGTGTTCTTATACTACCAGTTAAGGGGTGTGCTTATACTACCAGTTAAGGGGTTGTTCTTTTACTACCAGTTAAGGGGTGTTCTTTTACTACCAGTTAATGGGTGTTCTTTTACTACCAGTTAATGGGTGTTCTTTTACTACCAGTTAAGGGGTGTTCTTATACTACTAGTTATGGGGTGTTCTTATACTACCAGTTAAGAGGATAAGTGTTCTTATACTACTAGTTAAGGGTGTTTTATACTACCAGTTAAGGGTGTTCTTATACTACCAGTTAAGGTGTTCTTTACTACCAGTTAAGGGGTGTTCTTATACTACCAGTTAAGGGTGTTTTATACTACTAGTTATGGGGTGTTCTTATACTACCAGTTAAGGGGTGTTCTTATACTACTAGTTAAGAGGTGTTCTTATACTACCAGTTAAGGGGTGTTCTTATACTACCAGTTAAGGGGTGTTCTTTTACTACCAGTTAAGGGGTGTTCTTATACTACCAGTTAAGGGGTGTTCTTATACTACCATTTAAGGGGTGTTCTTATACTACCAGTTAAGGGGTATTCTTATACTACCAGTTAAGGGGTGTTCTTATACTACAAGTTATGGGGTGGTCTTATACTACCAGTTAAGGGGTGTTCTTATACTACGAGTTATGGGGTGGTCTTATACTACCAGTTAAGGGGTGTTCTTATACTACAAGTTATGGGGTGGTCTTATACTACCAGTTAAGGGGTGTTCTTATACTACCAGTTAAGGGGTGTTCTTATACTACCAGTTATAGGCTATTCTTATACTACCAGTTATGTGTTGGGTGTTCTTATACTACCAGTTAAGGGGTATTCTTATACTACCAGTTAAGGGGTGTTCTTATACTACAAGTTATGGGGGTGGTCTTATACTACCAGTTAAGGGGTGTTCTTATACTACGAGTTATGGGGTGGTCTTATACTACCAGTTAAGGGGTGTTCTTATACTACCAGTTAAGGGGTGGTCTTATACTACCAGTTAAGGGGTGTTCTTATACTACCAGTTATGGGGTGGTCTTATACTACCAGTTAAGGGGTGGTCTTATACTACCAGTTAAGGGGTGTTCTTATACTACCAGTTAAGGGGTGTTCTTATACTACAAGTTATGGGGTGGTCTTATACTACCAGTTAAGGGGTGTTCTTATACTACTCTTTGGGCCGGGATTTGATATCAAACGATCTCACTTGTTAACACTTGCCTGAATGAGTATAGAGTAGTCCCTGGTACCTTTGATGAAGTTGGGTGAGATAATACTGTAGGTAGTCTCACGGCGTGTCACCTTTGATACAGTCGTAGTTTTGAGTCGTTGAGTTGAATCGTTGAGTCGTCCAAGCCCACCTGGGTTACACTTGTAATTAACTTAGCTTGTAAGTATACACAAGTGTACACAGGTTCTGTTATCTTCATTTGTGGTTCCTTGGTTTAATGTAAACACACGTGGTGATTTTCTAGTTATATTGGATGCTCTGGTAGTTACAGAATTGTTTGTTGACAGACTACTGAGCATTAGCTATTAGCTTGTAATTAGCTGATAAAATTAGAGAGAGATACAGCCTTGGGAGCTATGCTCACACACGTCTCTTTGGTACAGTGTCTGGCTGTGAACTGGTGAACTGTGTGAAACTGTGAACTAGACGAACCTCTCTCTGTCTGCTTGTAAGGGGGTATGTAATCTATACGACAACACAGAGATAAGAGGCTACACTCCACAGGCCTACTCTCACGGAGGCCTGGGGACATATATTTATGGGTTGTAACCTGAATCTGTGTGAAACTACAAATGTTTATGTGTGCTGTCCACCCTAGGAGGTGTGACAACAAATGTTTATGTAGCTTTATGCTCAATAGTCTGGGTGATAGAATGTATATAATGAATATATGTCCTTAGCCCATATTTATATAATACTGATTGATAAGGGCTAGAACACTACCAGTTAAGGGATGTTCTTATGCTACCAGTTAAGGGATGTTCTTATACTACCAGTTAATGGGTGTTATTTTACTACCAGTTAAGGGATGTTCTTATACTACCAGTTAAGGGGTGTTCTTATACTACCAGTTAAGGGGTGTTCTTACACTACCAGTTAAGGGGTGTTCTTATACGACGAGTTATGGGGTGTTATTATACTACCAGTTAAGGGGTGTTCTTATACTACGAGTTATGGGGTGTTCTACTACCAGTGAAGGGGTGTTCTTATACTACCAGTTAAGGGGTGCTCTTATACTACCAGTTAATGGGTGTTATTTTACTACCAGTTAAGGAATGTTCTTATACTACCAGTTAAGGGGTGTTCTTTTACTACCAGTTCAGGGGTATTCTAATAGTTAAGAGGGTGTTCTTATATTACCAGTCAAAGGGAGTTCTTATACTACGAGTTAATGGGTGTTTTTAGAAAATCAGTTAAGAGGTGTTCTTATACTACCAGTTAAGGGGTGCTCTAATAGTTAAGGGGTGTTCTTTTACTACCAGTTATGGGCTGTTTTTATACTACTAGTTAAGGGAAGTTCTTATACTACCAGTTTAGGAGTGTTCTTGTACTACCAGTTAAGGGGTGTTCAAATACCAGTTAAGTTGTGTTCTAATACTACCAGTTAAGGGGTGTTCTTATACTCCCAGTTAAGGGATGGTCATATACTACCAGCTAAGGGGTGTTCTTATACTATCAGTTAAGGGGTGTTGTAATAGTTAAGGGGTGTTCTTATACCGCCAGTTAAGGGGTGTTCAAATACTACCAGTTAAGGGGTGTTTTTATACTACCAGTTAAAGGGTGTTCTTGTACTACCAGTTAAGGGGCGTTCAAATACCAGTTAAGAGGTGTTCTAATAGTTAAGGGGTGTTCTTATACTACCAGTTAAAGGGTGTTCTTATACTATCAGTTAAGGGGTGTTTCTTATACCACCAGCTAAGGGGTGTTCAAATACTACCAGTTAAGGGGTGTTCTTATACTACCAATTAATGGATGCTCTTATACTACCAGTTAAGGGGTGTTCGTATACTACCAGTTAAGGGGTGTTCTTATACCACCAGTTAAGGGGTGTTCAAATACTTCCAGTTAATGGGTGTTCTTATACTACCAGTTAATGGGTGTTCTTATACTACCAGTTAAGGGGTGTTCGTATACTACCAGTTAAGGGGTGTTCCTTTACTACCAGTTAAGGGGTGTTCTTATACTACCAGTTAATGGGTGTTCTTATACCACCAGTTAAGGGGTGTTCTTATATCACCAGTAAAGAAGTGTTCTTATACCACCAGTTAAGGGGTGTTGTAATACCTAAGGGGTGTTCTTATACTCTCAGTTAAGGGAAGTTCTTATACTATCAGTTAAGGGAAGTTCTTATACTACCAGTTAAGGGGTGTTCTTATACTACCAGTTAAGGGGTGATGAAATACCAGTTAAGGTGTGTCCTAATACAATCAGTTAAGGATTGTTCTAATAGTTAAGGGGTGTTCTTTTACTACTAGTTAAGGGGTATTCTAATAGTCAAAGGGTGTTCTTATACTATCAGTTAAGGGGTTTTCCTGTACTACTAGTTAAGGGGTGTCCTTCTACTACCAGTTAAGGGGATTTCTTATACTACCAGTTAAGCGGTGCACTTATACTACTACCAGTTAATGGGTGTTCTTCGAAAACCAGTTAAAGGGTGTGCTTATAGTACCAGTTAGGGGGTTGTCTTATACTACCAGT